TCCATTATGGACTCTCAAAAAATTCCAATTCATTGTAATTATTACAAATTTTCAAAATTTTCTCTTTGAATAAAGAGATTCTGTTATAACTCTTATTATTAAATTTTCAAACTTTCTCTGGATAACTTTGATCTACTACTCTCAAAAAATTCTAATCCATTGTATAACTATTATTACAAAATTTTCTTCTTAGATAACTCTGATCCATTATGGACTGTCAAAAAAATTCGAAAGAATTCTAGAAAAAGATCCATTGTAACTTTTATTACAAATATTACTCACAACTAATTCTCCTTATTTAAAACACGGATGTATAATAAATATTTTGAAAAGGAATCGAGGAATGAAATTTTTCGGCCACTTTGGTTCAATCCCGGATGAATCGACGTAAATTACGCGAAAGTGCCGCGTGCCCGTAAATTACCAGTGCGACAAAGAATGGCAACGCTTCGTTGAACGGCCGAAAAATCGTTGGCGGCTCTCCTCTTTAACACAGGAGGGGTCCGCGCAACAACAGATGCAACGATGCAACTTGCAATAATTAATTGCGCCCCCGCGGTCACAATGGCGATAGGGAGAGGGAGAGAGAGGGAAAGAGAGTGAGAGAGCCGGTGGGGTGGCTGGCGCGCATTATTCCGCCACGGAAAAAAATCCCACGAACGAGGCGCGCTGTCCGATCGCTGGTTTCTTATCGTTCGGCCGTGTTACGCGAACCAGAACGGATATTATGGAATTCGTTTGGTGCCCACGCTTAATTAAGGCTCCGCTTTCTTCCCCGACAAAAGGATCTTCCGCATTTTCAGATTCGCCAAGAAATTTATATTCTCGGTTATATTCTCAGACATTCTACCACTTTCGTTAGAATTCTGTAAAATTGTGTGAATCAATTTTTTTTTTAATTGAAAGCGTCTAAAGTGTATATAGTATTTTTTAAAAACCAAGAAAAAAAAAGAGAATGATAAAAAAAATGACGATAAGACGAATTAATATAAAATGAAAGAAATTTCCGTCTACGTTCCATTTTTTAAAATGCAAAGTTTCCACTCGGCGAGGAGAGTCTCGAAATTCTTGGAAGAAATATTATTTCGTAATAAAAAGAGAAAAAAAATTCGGCGAAATTTCTGGATCGACGTGGAACTTGGAACGAGGAGGAGAAGGTGGTGGAGGAGCGCGCACCATCTTCGCCCCTGCTACGGGATATGTAAATTATACATGTAAATATAGCGAGGCAACCGAGCCGAAAAAGATCGAACGGCGAGATATTGAGATACGTGTTGGCGATCCGCACACTTTCGCCTCTTCCTTTCGTCGATTTTATGCGATCGAACGCTCCTGGTTAAAAGTCGCCGGATATTTGTTGACTTTAAACGCATAAATTTATCGATCTATTAACCTATTAACTGTGTACGTACTCACCGTTCCTTCATTTTTCCTCCACACAATTTGTAATATTTTTAAAACGCAGCTAACAGATTAATAGTTCAAATTTGTAAACTTGTTTCTTTCGTCTATATTAATCGTAAAATCGTATATCTAATATAATTGCGTATTTTCGTATAAACATATATTTATATTAGTATCGTTAAAATGTAAAGATTTGCTTACAAATAACGTGAACGCGTCGCGTTGCAATCCCAACGTTCATTTGTATTGTGCGAGTGTCCGGTGACTTATGGACGGGAGTGTCTACGCCCGAATACCTTTGTCGTCGCTCCGCCACCGAAAAATGTTCTTATCCCCGCGTGCGCGCATACCGCCAACCCGCTAATTCCTATGCATTTTTCGCATTACCGGTGAAATCACGGCAGCGTTCCTCGTTGCCCGAGGAGAGTTCCCACAATGGAAAAATGTTAAGTGGAATGAAACCCTCCTGCCCGGTTAAATTGTTCATCGACTGGTTTCGTCGTATCGCGTGTCGTTTCGTTTGAAAATTTATCCGATGTGGAGGACCGAGGAATTTCGATCGATCGTCTTCGATGGATTTCCCATTCTTTCGCGTTGTGAGAGAGATTAACGCGAGCTATGATGAAATTAAGTAATATCAAGATTTGTATGAACAGATTATAAAACTTTCACATTTTTACGCTCTATACGTGTTTGAGAGACTCGGGAAGAAAGACAAATAACAAAGTCTTTGATTTAAAAGAATCGAAAAAGGATAAATTGAAAAGTATCAGAAGAGATATTAAAATTAAAAAATTTCCTGCATAAATGAAACTTATGAATAATATGTAAATTGTTTGCACTTATCTTGGAAAAGAATCTCGCGTAATTTTTCTAACGAGCCTCTCATTCATAGATGTGGAAGTTTATCGATATAATTTATGAATAAAGAGCGGCGCAAAAATTGTGATTAACCATGTTGAAACTCGTAAGGTTGCGTAAGGATTTCTTACCGATCGATTAAAATCAGATGCATCGTTACGAAACGACAGGAAATATAACGGAAATACACGTCAGATAATTTAAAAAAGTTGAGAGAATGGAAAGAGCGTGATGGTAATCACGCCAATGATATATTAAGATTTTGTTACATGAACAACGTTCCTGACAGAAACGCACGATTTCTATTTTTGTGATGTGATGTTTCTTGCCACTAATGTAATATAAATCTAGCCGATTTTAAAGATAATGTATAAAAATTCACTTGATGCGTGAAATATTTTATAATTGTAAAGAGAAAAGAAAGTTTGCTTATATGGTGTAATTAATGTTAATTATAGACATGAAACGGTGCTAAGAATGAATTGTCATACTTGTAATTGGATATTTTGTAATTTATATATTGTTGTTCTTTAACAAGATTAGAAAAGATGTTGAAATCGACGTTCGTTGTTATTTACGCGTGCAAAAATATTGAGCGAGTGAACGCAAATAAAAAAAGATTTCCACTATTTTTTGATAATTCTACAGTGCAACAAAGTATTAAGTTTAGAATAACTATGAATACAAATTGTATATAACATTGTAAATTGTAAAGAAATTATTTTATTTTCATATATATAATCGTGAAATGCTTGTGTACATGAATGGATATTCTGTGCGCAATTAAGTCAATTATTGTGACCAATTTTTAAAGGCATTGCACTTTTTGTATGTAAGAAAATGTACAGTGAATAAAGACAAATTTCATATCTATGAGCTTTATCGATTAATACGTTATTTTCTATTTTATCATTTATTTTATTATCTCAATCGAATCAATCGTAAAAGAAAATTGTGAATCTTGGAATTTTTAAAAATAACACTAAATAAAATATATACTATTTTTATGGAACGATTATGCAAAGAAACTATCCTTTTTTTTCATTTTTTAGAATCTTATGAATATGTTATATATAAAATAAACAAGAAGTATTCAAGAGTATAATATCATAATAAGAATAGTAGATGGGAAGATTTCAATAAAAATATTGAAATCAACGTTATTTTCAGAATGCTGCAAATGAAACTCGCAAATGAAAAAAAATAACAAAAAAAGAATAGAAATAGAATAAGAATTGATTATAGTACGCCATCTCTTGTCCAAAATATCCAAAAAATCTTTTTAAAAGAGGTTAAAAGATGGCACGAGTTTTCAATTCTTATCTCACTTTATTCATTTTTAAAGAAGTGTCTTTGGTCTTCAAGAGATGGCGCTAACAGTCCTTACCCTATTTTGTTTTTCAAACAAATATTTTTTTTTACTTGCTCTCTTTGTCTATGTTGAGTCATTTGCGGTACTACAAAGATGATGCTAATTTCACAATTTTTCTTTGTTCTATAATAATCTTATCTTTCTTTGTTCTAAAATAGAATAATATTTTTTTTGTTTATATATCCTTAAAATTAATAATAATAAAATTAATAATAATATTAATAATAATAAAATTATCTTTCACAAAGATATTTTTCGCTATTGAAGAATTTCATTCATTTTATTATAAATAGAATAAAATTTTGCTATATATATACTTCCTTTTTTTATATTTATATAAATATTTTTAAATATTTACAAATTCCCGCCGGATAATAATCCAGCGTAGGTGGCATTAGTACATTCAAATGGATAGAGTGGCGCGAGAAACATGTGTGGTCGAGCAGCTTGGTAAATAATTTTATCGTATAATTTCAATAATTAATTCATAATACAAAAATATCATAATCCTCTAATAATAGAAAACTTACTAATAATTTCACAGTTCTTTAAATCCAGATAGTTTATGTCGCGCTTGTGATTACAAGGATGCAACTGGCAAACGACGCACAACATCATGGACCAAAACTGACATCGAATATATTCCATCTACTAATATCGGACCTAAAGATGCTCTTCCTTGCATTATTTCCGGCTTACACTTTGGCAAAGAGGACGAACAAGTTCTTTGTGCTATGATGTGGAGTATGATTCCCCCTTGGCACGAGGTCGGTATTTACAAGATTAAATTAAATGATATTTCATGAATACGCTCACTGTAATTATCAGTTTAATTTCGACAAATTGACACAAAAAATATTTATTCAAATGTAAACATATTTATTATATTTTCTTGTTTGATAACAATAATTGATAATTTAGGGAAAAAAATTTTTTTTAATTTTTAGGGAGATTACAGAAAACATAATTTGTCAACACATAACGCGCGTTTAGAAAATATTAAAACTTCCAAATTATACGGAACACCACTTCGTAAAGGACAAAGATGCATTGTGCTTTGTGAAGGTTATTATGAATGGAAAGCTGGAAAAACCAAAAAAGAATCTAAACAACCATATTATATTTATGCTACTCAAGAGAAAGGAGTAAGAGCGGATGATTCTTCGACATGGAAAGATGAATGGTCTGAAGAAACTGGTTGGAAAGGATTTAAACTTTTAAAGATGGCAGGAATTTTTAATACGTTTAAAACTGGAGAAGTAATTCAATGTATTAAGTATCTTTAGAATATATATAGTATATCTTTAGAATATAAATATACAACTATAGAAATAAATTATATTTTAGGGAAAAATAATATACAGTTGTACAATAATTACAACTGAATCAAATAGTATACTTTCTTGGTTACATAATCGTGTACCCATTTTTTTAAACAAAGAACAAGATTCACAGGTAAGAAAATGAATATTATGCATATTGAAAAAAATTTCTTTTATTTTATTTATATTATATATAAATGTTTTTCAAGATAAATTAATATTACAATGGATTTATTTATTTATTTCTTTTTTTTGTTACAGATTTGGTTGAATGAAAAATTGACAATAGATGAAGTTGTTGACAAATTAAATAAATTAACATTAACAGATGGTGATTTAAATTGGCATACAGTCTCAACTCTTGTAAACAATGTATTATGTAAAAATGAAGATTGCAGAAAAGAAAAAAAGCCCATGTATGTATATAAATGTATATAAAACAGTACAATTAACTTTTCTCTATTCGAATTATGACCTTTTAATCCTGTCAAGTGACATGCTAGACTATTGATTTACTAATTCTATTATGTACAGTGAAAAGAAAAAAAACAACTCTAGTAGTTTTATGGCTTCTTGGTTGAAGAAAGGGTCTACAGAATCAGCTAAGAGAAAAAGTACGGAAACTGAAAAAAATGACAATGTAATGTCAAAAATTGCAAAGGAAAAATAATTTTATCCATAATTACAAATAAGATCACTTACAAAAGTATAAACTTTACTTTTTTTTAATTGTAAATATCAATGTTAAAATATTTATTTAAATTATATATTTTCTTTTTATTTTTATATTTTATAAAACAATAATTTTTCTTTGTAATAGTATTTGTATTTTTTGTCATACATAATGAATAGAAAAAAAAATCATAAAATAAGATTTTCTCTTTTTAATTTATAATAGTGAAATATAATGTGTAATTATTTATAATCAATATTTATATAAAATTAAAGCACAATTCTGTAAACATTAGTACTAAAAATAAAATAATATATATATTTTAAGCATAACCTTTTGTTTTTCTATATTTTGAACACAAACATTAATAAAAAAAACAAAGCTTACTTGCGAAATATTAATTTCAAAAAATATTTAATCTTATTGGTCTTATTTACTACAAATTTATAATAAATTTATTTATAATAAAATAAAGAATTTATAAGAGTATACAATTCATTGTATAATAAATTAAGTCTATTTCGAATATATAGTTCAGTATATAATAAATTAAGTCTATTTCATACATAAATATTTTTATAAAATATTTTCAAAAATATTTTTTAAAAATTTATTTGAGAAAACGAAATTCTATTTGGCGCTCATTAAAACGCATGCGTAGATTACTACAATATGGCGACGATCATTGCCCCGATTTCATTTAGTAGTAACAAAGAAAAAGAGAGAAAAAGAAAGAGATAGAAAATCCGATTTTCTAAAGATGTCAGCACGATAGCTCTTATTTCGCGCTGGTAGCAGTGGAGGTGAAGGCGATCGGTGGTGGTTGAGTTCGCGAGTGGTGCAGTGTGTACGATAGAGAGCGAAGGTGTACCTACGTCTGAAGAGTTGTGCTGACACGTTTTCGTCTCCCGTGCGGCGGGGGCTGCCCTTCGCAAGAATCCGCGTCACGCATGGCACCGCTCCGTGCCTGAGACGCCTTTTTCTCGGAGACAGAGAGAGCAAGATCGTGCGCGGCCGGGGCCCAGCCTCTTCGCGTGCTTCGTCTCGTTTTGCCGTTTTCGAGCGCCGGAGAGACCGAGTCGCGAACGAGCCGACAGAATGACCAGCCAAGAGACGTGCGAGCAAGGGATTAGTAATGTAGAAACTGAATATCTTGAGATCAATTCGAAAGGAGCCTGGGCGATTCTCTATCAGGTAAAGATCGCCACTTCCTCTCCTTCTTCTTCCGTTTTTACGTCTTTTCTTCCGGTTTCCGCGAGAAACGCCAATTCTATCCATGAATGTCAATCTTTTTAATAGCCAGTAATCTAAACTGCATCGTAAAATTGTTTTCCGCTAACACGGCTATTAATTGCTGATGATGCACAAGTTATGAAATCTTGTTCAATCTCGTTTAACGATGTTTATTTGCCAATTGAAAATCATATAGGTATCAACACGTTATCATCTGTCGCGAAATCTCATCGTACGCTTGTGAATTTTTAACGGTCTTTCGTACTCGTGAATGAGAAACCTGTATAGCACTATATATATCACATGTCTGTTATCAAGTTTTGATTTATTTATCTTATGGACCCATTCTTGATCGCATACAACTTCCTTCGTGATTTTCGTCATTCCGGAAATGTGCTCGATTAATTTAAGTTTTACGAATAAATTAAATTTATTGTACATCGATATAATTCAATACAATAACAAATCTAGGAATTTATTCTTTATTGCATGCTTCCTAACATTCGTTTTTCTGCCGATATTTACAATGCATGAATTGTTCTCAATTCCCTGACCTATCTGTTTATTTTCTTGGAAAGTAATTTTCACAGAAAGATTATTAAATATTGCATGAATTGTGCACAATTTTATTATCAAGGTCAAATATCTTGATTCAAAAAATATATACTATATATTTGATATTGTGATTTATATAAGTGAAATAAGATATTTTTTAACAAATATTAAACATTATTTTTTTCCCTAGACAAATGAAAATTATTTTAAAATTTAAATTATGTTTTTCCTTTTATATGATATCATATAATTATAAAAGAGAATATTATTTTTACAGCATATACGTAATGAATGCAGCAATTTTACATACACATGCAATGAATCAAAGAAGCCACAAAACAAAAATTTGAATCGTTACAGAGATGTTTTACCATATGATCATAGTAGAATTGTTCTTAAAAAAGGCCCATGTGATTATATCAATGCTAATCTCATACAGGTAGATATTGTATCAAGATATTTAATTCTAATAAAAAAAAAAAAATATAATAACAAAATTATTTTTATTATAGGTAGATCATGCCCGTAGACAATATATTCTTACTCAAGGACCATTGGAAAATACTGCTGGCCATTTCTGGTTAATGATATGGGAGCAAAATTCTAAAGCTGTGTTAATGTTAAATAAAATAATCGAAAAAAATCATGTTAAGTGTTATCAGTATTGGCCTCTTGGCGAATCCATGATTAATACAATGATATTTCCGGATGTTGGTATGAAAATAAAATATATCAGTAAAACAGAATCATCGGATTATACAACTAGAATATTAAAGTATGAAAATAATTAAGAATTAAATTATAAATATTTTTATATATTCAATATATTTGAATAAATATATATATAATTTATTATTTTACAGGTTAACTGATTTGGAAACAAAAGAAAGTAGAGAAATATTACATTTTCATTATACCACTTGGCCAGATTTTGGTGTTCCACAAAGTCCTACAGCTTTTTTAAATTTTTTAACAGATGTTAGGCAATCAGGAACATTAGATCAAAATGTTGGCCCTCCTGTGGTACATTGTTCTGCAGGAATTGGAAGATCGGGAACATTTTGTTTAGTTGATACCTGTCTTGTTTTGGTAAATATTATTTATATTAAAGAAAAAATTTAAAAATTACAGAGAAGAGATTGCTTTTTTATTATAGATTGAAGAAAATGGATTGAATTCAGTAAATATTAGAGATATATTAATAGAAATGAGAAGATCTAGAATGGGTTTAATTCAAACACCAGATCAATTAAGATTTTCATATGCTGCTATCATTGAAGGAGCAAAACAATTGCCATGCAATAACGTGGTAACTAATACCAATTCACAGTGGTACAATGTTATTAGTTTTTCCTTTCTGAATTAACCTATTGTTTGTTGTATGTCCCATGTAAATATTTATCTTTGTATAGCACATGATTGTTTTTATAATATAAATTAATTCTAATAATATTGTGCTACTGTGGTTCATTGCAATTCCTAACTGTTACTAACTACTGTGATATTTACAGAATATTAATAATGAAATAGTGTCAAATCATTATGATGTGGTAAGTAATATTAGTAATTCTTCAAATGAAGAGGAAGATGAACCACCTCCTTTGCCACCTCCAAGAGGTGAATCCTTAACACGTAGCATGATGGCAGATTTAACTTCGAGTACAATATCAAGAAATGGTATGTGAATGATGAATTGAATGATTAAAGTAATTTACAAAATATAATTTTTTTATTTAATATCAGATGAATTAACTGGACCACCTGATAAACCATTGCCTAGAGAACCATCAATTCAAACAGAGACATCCATTACCAATCTACAAACTGGTGTAAACTCTACAGTAATCACAAACAATATACATGAACAGAATTCCGACGGTGTTGTAGTGCCTAATGATAATGCCAGTGACGGTGAAAACTCTATACAAACAATTAGTCCTCCGTCCAGTCCAGATATGTAAGTTATTCGAAAAAAAAAATGTATTTATATTATCTATAATGTATTTGTAATATCTTTCTTTTTTCATTTAATACTTATTTTATGTAAATAGGAAAAATGAAATACGTCATCGTAATAAAGAGAAGAAAGAACGCTTGGCAGCACAAGTACGAGAGATGAAACGTCGTCAAAAAGAGACTGAAGAATGGCAGAAGCTCAAGAGGTCATTATTTAAACCTCTTACAATAGGCATAGGCGCTGCAATTGTTGGTGGGGGTATTATAGCAATATGTGGCTATTTGTACATGCGTGGTTAGGATACAATTGTTTTTCTGTCACACATGTATATGGACAATCGAGATGTCAGTGATATTAGGTGATTCGCACATTCAAGAATAGTTACTTTCACTATGAAATATTTAAAAGCTCTATTGCACATGTCATTAATTGCCGTTTTGAAAAAATAATTAATCAGGGAGAAGCATTTAGTGTTATATAACTCGAAATAATAACACACGCAATCGTTGTGAGACGTTGTATCAATAAGGAATTATCAATTAATTCAAAAATGAGGAACACATACCAATTATCAAAGAAACGTTAAAGAGAAGTAACTTATTCTAATGAAGTGCATTTTATAAAAGACATTGTTGCACGATAAAGAAGTGAAAGGAAAGAAGAAAAAAAGATCAGAAAGTTAATGAGAACGAAATGAGAACGAAAGAAAAGGAAAAAACCTTCGATTTGTATTTTTATATTGTGATTCACTCAATGAATATGTATAACATACTAGAAGGTATACATTCTTTGAAAAATCATTTCGTTAGGTTTTAAAAGCTGCATTTCACACTTAATAGATCTTTCCGTATTCGTGTTTCCGGTATTAGAAATGGAATAAGAAATATGTTGAGTTAGATTTTTACTTCGTGATTATTTTCTGCCTCAAATAGGAGTAAAGAGTATCTTTTTAATTGTTTGATAACTCTAATCATTAAATGTGTATCCTATGTCCTATGAATTAGGAAGGAAGAAAAACACGTGTAAAGATCTAAAACAAGTAAATGTATTCTTATTCGCATATTGTAATAATTGTAGATTCACGTAAAATAGATAGATTATACATGAAATGGGTGCATGATGTTCCAATAAGTAAAATCGATTTACTTTTTAAAAGTAATAATTAATAATAGAGGCAATCAAAAGTATTAATTTCCTCTTTTTTTATTTCTTACAATTTTTAAATAAATTTAGATTTCTTTAATTTAATTAATTTTATTACAGTCAATTTTAACAATTACAGTTTAAAGAATTTTCAATTATTAACCTTCTATATAAATTAGATTCATTAATAGCAATTTATCCAGAGTATCAAAATTATTCATTTAAAATTTATAAGTACCCAATCATCTTGCTAGAATCTAATTATATCGTAATAGTCGTAGAGAAATATTAACGAACTTTGCAATTATAATATACTATGTAAATGTTTTTTTTATGAATAACTTACCCATTAAAGTAAAGTCCATTCATCTATAAAATATTCATGACAAAAAGTGAAGTCATATTAAAAATTAGCATAAACTATATACCTGTGAAATATCATGATCCATTCTTACATGGCAGTTCAATGTTTATTTAGAGTCATCGATTTCGTTCGAAACTTGTTCCTGGGATTATAAGTAAAGAAAAAAGATAAATTTTCTTGACTTTCTCTTTTTCTTGAAGAAACGCGTCATTGAGATATTTCGTTTAACATGGCAAATTGTGCCTTCGATATTGTGTGTATTTCGTAAAAATAATTCACGCAATTGCGTAAAATATTCGTAATCGTTTATAACATGAATCATTTTGTACTTGAAGTAGTCGAGGAAATTTTTTACATAAAAACACACGTCTGGTATACGGAAAATCGACAATTAATAAATTTCGTGTGATACCGAAATAATTAGCAGCGACGTAAGAATATTTCGACTAACGAAACTTGCTACGGTGCTTATCATGTGCTATTTTGAAATATTTTTGTGTTTTTCATTTCATGTGATGAAACTATCGATATAGTGGGTGCCAAATAATGAAAAGCCAACAAAAATTTTGTACATAGAAATATCTGATATTCTTATAAATCAGTTTTTGATATCCATACATTTGATATATACATCAATGTAAGCTATCGAAATAATATCTGATACTTGATTAACTAATTTTAAAAATTATGTATATATTCGAAGTAAAAAAAAAAATTACTGTAAACGATCCATTTAATCAAAAAATATTGATTGTCAAAAATTGATACTTTCTTTTATATTATGAAAACTAATATCAAAAACTGATTCGATCAGAATATATTTGAAATAACGAGCCGTATCATGGTTGCGTTAGTGAATTTTATTTATACACTTTTAACCCCTTATTGAAACGTTTCTCTCGCATTTTATTCATATCGAGTATTTGAATCTTAAAAATATTTAAACTTTAATAATTTTACTTAAAAAAAAAAAAAAAAAAAAAAAAAAAAAAAAAAAAAAAAAAAAGAAGAAGAAGAAACAGGGGGTTAAAAGAAACGCATCTTTCTAAAACACGAATTCTAACTGATTTGCTCAATGATAAACCGTTTAAAATACATTGAGCGTCGCGGAAAGACTGAGTACGTCTAATTGCTTCTAAGTGGAGAGGAAGTTTTTAAAAAAATGAAAAAAAAAAAAGAAATGAAAACGAAGAAATGAGTACGAAATATGTTTAGAAAAAGAAAAAAAAAAACCGTACTCTTAAACTGAGCTTCTATATAAGTGGTCACGATCATTCTTCAACTGCAGAAGAGTTACAGGATCGTGTTCTAAGATTTAAAAAAAAAAAAAAAAAAAAAAAAGGAAGGGGAAAGAAGCTGAAACAAGAGGCAAAGGTATAAATTAATTGCTCTCGATTCATCCTCTTTCCCAGAAAGAAAGCACGCGTGAACAAACGTATTTTGTACTTTTGTATTACGTCGGTAACCGTAAGATGTTTGGAATACGATCCCTGTGCGAAAAAATTATTTTCAAATACGCGTTTACATTCACCGTTTATGCGTTTAAGTGTTCGTTAACGATAATACATCGAACATATATATAGTCTTATATTATCTGTAGAGATGTCATCATGTTCCATTTGAAGCAATGTTAAAAAAAAAAAAAAACATGTTCAAAGTTGAATACAGTATTCTGTCGTCGGTATAGTTCATCTATGTGTATGCACCATTGTATATCTTGTTACCTGATTTTCGTCTAGAGTATATTCGTACGTTTATATTACCGTTAGGGAGATGTGTAAACCCAGACGCGTTTTCTTTCTTCTCTTTAACGATATTTAAAACACGCTCGAATGACATAACCTTCATAGGGTACGAGAATGGTGCGAAAACAGCTTTCTCAAAGCAAGGAGAACGGCACGTGTGTCAGCCTTTGTTTAAAACGATTACGATCGGACGTGAGATATGTTAGTGGTGTTCCTAGAGGAATGATAAATTTTAATATTTTTTTTTATATTTTTTTTCTTTTCTTTTTTTTAGAAACACGGTGAACGCGATCATTAAAGTCACAGTGAAAGTGTTCGACTCTTGTAATTAAAACTGTTTAAAGCTTCTAAGTGTTGATCAAATGTATACTTTTGGAAGATAATTTTCGGATGTGGATCACCGTTATAAAAAAGGTCTGAAAATAATAACAAAAAATTTTATTGTTTTTAAATAGTAATATCACTTTCTAGATTTCTCTGTAATTTTTGTTCAATAAATATTGAAATATTCGAGATATATCGTGATATCGCGTTAATTAAAAATGTTAATAACTCGAATTTTAATATAATTTAAACAAATAAAATGAAAGAAAACACGAGGAAGCTTGTAACAGTTACGTTACGACCGACGAGTTAATCAAAAAATGAAATTCATTTGAAGCTAATTTAATGTATTTCGTCATTAATCTCTTGCCTTAAAATGACTTATCATCATCATCATCAAATTTATGACACTCTAAAATTATTAATAATTCTAAATATCTGTCGCCATTTTTCTTTTACTTTTGACTTCTCGTGTTAAACTGGCGTCTCTCGATGAAATTAATAAGGCAAGAAATTAACGATTAACCGTGTTTCGCGCGTTCATTCAGAAATTTCATCGAATCAT